TGTAAATCTGGGCCCGTCCCTCATTGATGGAGCGTTAGTCATCAGACGTCACACGATGAATGCGGCGCGCCATGGCTCAGCGAACTGCCCCGAGTTCCCGCCAAGACCTGGACAGGGTCATGACGCATGCGCAGCGACACCCCGACCTCCCTGCGAACGCCTTCCGTATTCAATTTTCTGTCTTTAAGGTTAAGGCATTTTCCAATCTCATTTTCTGGTGGGGGGTTTTAGTCCCCCCCCCTCTCTCTCTCTCTGTCTCTCTCTCTCTCTCTCTCTCTCTCGTATCTCTCTCTGTCTCTCTCTTCTCTCTCTCTTCTCTCTCTCTCTTCTCTCTCTCTCTTCTCTATCTCTCTGTGTGTGTGTGTGTGTGTGTGTGTGTGTGTGTGTGTGTGTGTGTGTGTGTTTCTGTCTCCAAGTTGTGGATACAACATACCAGCAAAAAGACCGAGATACTTGATAGAGATTTCTCCCCACTCCGGAACCAAACTCGGATCTTGTGCGTGCGACAGCGAGGCACCTGACCGCTACACCAAACAGTTGTGAGATCACATAATATTATGACTTTACCAGTCCTCACGGGGAACTTCTGCTTTTTCTTCCCTCATCCTTTCTATCGTCATTTTCTCCTCTACTTCTTTTGTATGTTTGTCACTTTCTTGTGAACTGTTATTTCCGGGGTGCCTTGATGGTCGACGAAGCAGACTTTGTCCTGTTGAGGCTACAGAGGTGAGCAAAGTAAGCCTGATTCCCTGTTTGGACTTCTGTGTTGACACCCACCCCTTGGCGCTCATATGACCTTAGGCAGTTGTGAGCGCCGTAAAACCTACACTATACCAAACAAAAGTGTCTCTAACAACTTTCTGACTTAGCAGGTCAATTAGAACTACAGTGCGGTCAAAAATTAGTGGAGCGATTTATTTTCAAATATCTCCTCAACTATCGAACATACGTTCTCCAATTTTTGCACAGTGACTTGTATCACTTTGTCTTAACAGATCAACATTTTTGTAAACATCTGCAAGCTGTATTCTAGAAAATTCCTTAATAAATACTAACAACAAATCCAAGTGGGTGGTTTCTACAGATTTTAAAATGTTTACAGCTGGGGCAATATTGCTCTTAATAGCAAGTCCGTCATGTTTTTCTAATCGGGACATTATGCTTATTGAACGCATGTTTTGAGAGCCATTAGTGCAAAAATGTGTTCACTATAACAATAATTTCTTGTAACAAGTTTTGCAAGTAAAAATTGTCTTTGATGAATTGTGACGTAGGCCATATATACGTAATTAAAATGTGTGTGAGAAGCGGGAAGTGCTGTGAACAATACCATTTTACGTGTGACAGAGATTTCAAGTATTTTATATAAATTTATAGAAAAAAGTTTTTTTATCTAGCTGTAGCCCCAATTGTTCTAGAAAAATATGATTTATTCAAGACAAATTGATTCAAACTGCTGTGCAAAGTATGGATGACATTGATTCACCCGTTAAAGAGATATTAATTTGAGGATAAGTTACGCCACGAATTTGTGACCGCACTATAGAAGCCTGCTCTAAACTCAAATTATACACTTAATAAGTGTGTGTGTGACGTAGTTCACATCAGTTGATGACGCAATATCAAAACGCATTAATATCCCATAGATTTGTGTTATAATATCCAAGACTAGGCACCACTCCTGACGTATTTCCGGTCCACTAAGGAACTCACCATTTGACTCAGTTTGGAAGAAAAATATGAAGGGTAAAGAGACTAATGTTGCGTGCGCACTAGACTTTATCGAGACTTGTGTTTTACACTTCATTTGTGTCCGTGGTACGCGTGAGCGCAGTGAAGTTGTAATTACTTTTATTTTGTTTTGTTTTGGTTTTGTTGTTGTTTTTTGTTGTTGTTTTTTGGGGAGGTATTGTGTGTGTGTGTGTGTATATATATGTGTGTGTGTGTGTGTGTGTGTATGTGTGTGTGTGTGTGTATGTGTGTATATATGTGTGTGTGTATGTGTGTGTGTATGTGTGTGTATGTGTGTGTATGTGTGTGTATGTGTGTGTATGTGTGTGTATATGTGTGTGTATGTGTGTATGTGTGTGTGTGTATGTGTGTGTATGTGTGTGTATATGTGTGTGTATGTGTGTATGTGTGTGTGTGTATGTGTGTGTATGTGTGTGTATATGTGTGTGTATGTGTGTGTATGTGTGTGTGTGTGTGTGTGTGTGTGTGTGTGTGTGTGTGTTTGTGTTTAGATAGAGAGCAAAGATTCTGGCCATGACAGGGCCCAGTACAGTATAGCATTATTCTATTCAAGTCTATGTAAAGAGCAAAGAGTGGCGGCAATCCATGCAGTGAGGTCATCTAGACTGCACGGTGTGGCGGCCATGACAGTA